AAAAAAAAAAAAAAAAAGATTCAAAGAATGCTGTTGCCTGCAGTCCTTGTGGCTGCAGGGTTGGGTTCGAGCCGGGAACCTCGGAGCTAGCCGCGGTTGTTTGTCCCTAAATTGCATCCTGTCTTCCGTCCCCCCTGCATAGAACGTACGGTCCAAGGTATCTAGATTGAAAGTTGCCCCAAATACCGTTGCCCCAAATACCGTTATATTGCCGGTGGCCTCCTCCTGCTCTCACCAAAGTCCGATGGCGAGTGGAGCTGGACCGACCATGAATGACCGTCCACTTGTGAGAGAGAAGCTTGTAGTCCTTGATGGGCCTGCCCTGTCCACCCTGCCACTGCACCTCGCCCATCCGTCCCGCCTTGTCCCCACCCAGCCAATTGTTACGGAACTGCTTGATTTGTGCTTGGTTTTCTTTCCTTGTGTGTAAAAATATCTATCTTTTCTTTCACCGCATCCCAGTGTGCTTGTGTACCAGTTTGTATATGCTGTTGGATGATGTCTGTCCGTTCCTTTCCATCCACGTGCACTCTGTCCATTTCCAGAGTACAGCGTCTGAGCCATAGGGACCAGAGGTCAACCTTCCTTCCCAAGTCAAACATGTTAAGCGTGAGCGGGCTGGCCTGCTCGGATCTGCACAGGATTGCTCTCCCGTCCCCAGGGCCATTGTCGGTCTGTGCCCAGTTGTCTCTCGATGCGGTCCCACCACCTTCACACCCAGGCTGAGCTTGGGCACTGCAGAAAAATGTGTTCAATAGTCTCCGGGATCTTTCTGGTGGGAAATCCGCCGCTACAGCGCTTGCACCATGGTAGGGCTAGGCCCTGCTGTTCCAGGGTGGTCCTATAAATTAACCAATCGTTGGTCGGGAGACGTCGATGGTCTATTTGCCACTGCAGCAAGGCGATTTTTGCAGGCTTGGATTTCATTTCGGAGAACCATTTTACCTTCCTTAAAGAATCTCTATCCACACTTAGGCGGCGCATCCATCTCCAAATGACCTTCTCTTCCAAATCCACTCGTGGGCGTAGCATCCTGTACATTGATTTTACCTGCAGTGACTGCAGGCGCAAAGTTAGATGTTTTACCCCTTCCATAGGTTGAGGTCCAGGTCCACAATGCCGGATTGAAGGCCAGTTTCTTGAGCAGGATCTCTGGTTCATATGCAATCCAGTGCTCGGGGTCACTTAGAACCCGGATCCGAAAGACCTGGGAATTGTGGATCCATCGAGTCGCTTCCGGGGAGACACGGATCCGTCTATAGTTATTCAGTCGCGAAAGATGTCAATCAGAACCACTCCATCTTGGCGGGTGTCCACTATGTTTCCCACTACCTTCGGGTCTCCTCTAAGGGTGACCCAGGCGCTTTCAAGGAGGGTGGGGCCTTTCTTGAGGGTACGCCCCCAGTCCAAGGGGATTGAGAATATGACGGTGTCTAGGGCCCCCCCAATATTATGACATAACCTCAGTTTCCCTCTCAAGTTCTCCACCGATATCCAATCTTTTTGCTGCTGATTCCAAATGTCCCCCACCCTCACCACTCCCTGCCTGACCTGGCCCTTCCATGGGCGGTTAGTGCTCAAGGAAACCTTGCTATGGGAGTCTGCAATCCACCTATTCCCAAAGAGGGGTTGCCTGAGCACCTCTTCTTTTTTGAGATATCATTAATGAATGCGGAGCAGGCCATATACCTTGCCGTAATTCCCAAAGAGTTTACAATTCAATATTTATTCTATATTAATTAATTAATTCAATTACTGAATAGATATCCATAATATAATGAAAACATATAAATCTATTTGACTGAAATATAAATACGCTTTGTCTTATCTTATACATCTATTTATTATTGATTATTCTAGGAAATTGTACTACCAGCTTCTAAACGAGCTTTAGATCGCTTAAAAGCCAATTGAGCTTCAATAATTAGTTTCTTCTCTTTTGCTTGAAGCAAGTTTTGTCTAGGTAAAGTCCATCGTGCGAGAATAGCAAAAAAAATAAACAAATAAGTCTTAGCAAGTGTAATACTTATATGTATTATTGGAATTTTCCCACTCTGTTGGGGGGACTTTGTCTGAAGGGGGAGCTTCCTCCATATCTTGAGTAACGTGGGCCAGAATGGGTCATTTGGGATATACTTTCAGGCGGCTTGTCTGTCGTCTTGAGTGCAGGCCGAGGATTTGCGTGGGATGGGCCAGTATCTGTCCTCTAACCATAAGAGTGGGTCGGAGCTAGGGGGGGGTGGGGGGGCTAGTCTCCTCAGTCGCTCCTGTGCCAAGGCTCTCTCGGGTAGGTGTGGGGTGAAGAGCAGGCTTTGAATCCACTGGAGGGCCAAAGCCATGAGCTGCATTGTCGGGTTGATGATCCCCAACCCCCCTTTAGACTTTGGTTGAATCACTGTCTCCCATGCCACTCTGCTAATCGCATGTTGTTGCTCATAGCTGCCCCTCCATAGGAAGACTGCCACATGTCTCTGAAGCAAACGCATAGTTTTCTTACTTACCACCCAGGCCGACCTATACCACAAGAATGCCAAGGCAACATTATTTATGACCTGGGACCGAGAGAGGTATGTTTACCCTTCCACTGGGCCAACTTCCGGAGGAGCGGCTTGGCAATTCAATCATAATTTGTTGTAGGTTTGCCTTCTATTGACATCAGCACCCCCAATACTGCAATGGGGCCCTGTGTTGGGAGTCATTTCATTTGTGGGGATTCTGTAGGGTGCCCTCCCTAAGTAGTGGATCCACCATCCTAACGTTTTGTTTCCCCAGTTGATTGCCATGTCGGAGAGGTTACATAAGCGATCCATTAATTGTTTAATTTCCAACGTGTCTTCCGTCGAGGGATCCGTCATCAGGGTTAGAATGTCTGCAAACATTGAGTAGATGGGGATGGCTTGCTGGGGTATTTTTGTAATCCTAATCCTCCGGACGCTTTGGCTAGTATGAACGTTTGCGACCATTGCCTTCATAATGATGACAAATAGGAAAGAAGGGAGTCTCCTTGGCGCACCGAGTGCTGTAGATGGCTCGCAGGGGCTAGACTGCCAATCACCTGTGCTCTCATCGTGGCATTTTGGTGCAGAATAGAGGCCCATCGGTGAACGTTTGGGCCAAAATGCATCTTGTTGAGGCACCTGTCAATCTACGTGGTATATGCCTTCTCAACGTCTATGAAGATGGAGGCCGCATTGTGCTGTGACTGCCTTGCGAGTTTGAGCATCTCGTTAACAAGGAGGATGTTATCCTGGATCTTCCTACCCCTAATAAAACCAGTCTGTGGAGGATGGATAATGTCCTCCATTATGTTATGAAGTCTATTTGCCAAGGCTTTTGCCAGCATTTTGTAGGCGAGTGTGAGGAGTGTGATGGGACGATAGTTAAGTATTTTAGTTTTCTACCCCTTCTTGTATAGGAGGGTCAAGACTCCTAGCGCACAAACTCCCCTATCTGTCCTGTCTCCCAGACTGCTCTATAATAGTCCATGAGGTCGGATGAGAGGGTACGGCCAGAAAGTTTTCACAAAATTCTTTGGGTAGCCTGTCAATTCTGGGGGTCTTTTCTTCCCCCCTTTGCACCAGGGCAGTCCAAATTTTCCTCTTTGGAGGGGGGCTGCTCAAGTGCCTGCCGCTGCAGGTCTGAGAGGGTGCATTGTAGTGGGACAATAAATTCCTCAATTTCTTGCAATCTTTCCTCTCTAGGTCGCGCGACACGACGAGACGTGAAGACATACTAAAAGAACGATCTTGTTATATACATGCACTGGGGGGTGGTGATTGCCAGGGGGGCTTGTTTCCGAAATGCAGCTATAATGCCCAAATGTAGCTTATGGGGAAACTCTCTCCCTCCATCTCTCTCTTTCTCTCTCTCTGTCACATAAGATATATCATTGACTTGATGCATTGCATTTTTGCCTTCCTCGATGAACCCGACCCATTGGATGGGACAGCAAGGACCACTTCCCTTGATCTGATGGGCGGATTGCCTGTGCAGTGAGGGCCAGGCCGTACTGGTGCTATGTCCATGGTAGCAAGGCACAAACATCACCATGATTATGACCATGTTCGTGCGTTCCCAACATGAACATAGCATCAGTGGGGACTGATCCTGAGAGAGCTTGTGAGTAAGGGGGGAAGCAGGTGCAGGTGGGGGATGGTTATGTATTGGGGGAGGGGGGGGGGGGGGGGTTGGGTCACCAGCTCAGCTGTTTGGTGTCCTTTCCTTTGTTTTTGAGCTGTTCTGTGTTTTGGTAACAAAACTCTCTCTCTCTCTCTCTCTCTCTCTCTCTCTCTCTCTCTNCTCTCTCTCTCTCTCTCTCTCTCTCTCTCTCTCTCTCTCTCTCTCTCTCTCTCTCTCTCTCTCTCTCTCTCTCTCTCTCTTTTCTTGTTGCTGTTGCAACAGACATGGCTGAGGGGGGACTTGAGGATATTTTCGAGTCCGCATTGAACTTAGAAAATTCCCATTTGGTGTCGGGATATGAGGAGGGCTTTCGTGAAGGCGTAGAAATTGGCAAAAGGGAGGGGAAGGAGCTAGGGTTGGAGAGAGGGTTCCTTGTGGGAGAGGAGGTGGGGTTCTATATGGGTTGTGTTTGGGTATGGAAGAAGGCGATGGCTTCCAAACCTGCAGTTTTTCCGCAGAGGGCGCAGAAAGTGATTGCCGCTTTTGAGCGTGAGCTGAAGACGTTCCCCCTTGGCAACGCACAGGACGAAGCGATTGGAGACCTCATTGCAAAACTTCGCATGAAGCATCGTGGGATATGTCTCATGCTAGGACTTCCTTCTCTGGAGTATCCCGGCTTGTCTTTGGGAATGTTCAAGGACACTTCTCCGATGTCTTTCTGATGTGCGCCTGCGCAGGTTGAGTCTGTGTTTTCGGTGATCAGGAATGTCCAACGACACTTCATCAACGGCTGTTCTCATCATCACCAATCAACGGCTGGTGTTTCCACCGTTACCTTCTCGAAGTATCCTGACTGTTGCCAACCGTTGTCATCGCCAGCTGCTGCAAAGGACAATCCAGACACACACTCAGATTATATCTACTCAGGGATTGTGCTCTGGTTACTCTCTGAGTGAGAGAGACTGATCTGTACATCAATCAATCAAGCATGCTGGCCTGGCATTCGTTGCACAAGTATTCTTATCCTTGGAGGTAATGCCTTCCCCCCTCACATCTCCTTACCCTGTCGTGGGGTGGATACTCTTTGTTGTTGTTGTTGTTGTTGTCGATGTCGATGTCGTTGTTGTTGTTGTTGTTGTTGTTGTTGTTGTTGTTGTTGTTGTCGTTGTCGTTGTCGTTGTGGTCGTTGTTTTACATATCGTCCTTGTGCAGGCGTTGTTGTTGTTGTCGTTGTCGTTGTTGTTTTACGTATCGTCCTTGTGCAGGCACCATGCTAATCTTCTCTGTATCGTTCCAATTTTAATGGATGTCCCAAAGGACAGGTACCCTTTCTGGTTTTCAGCCGGTTGTGTACTTTGATGTTTAAGTTTTGAACAAGACACTTACTGGAGGCAACAGTAAGGAAAGATAAGGACGAACTGCATACAAAGAGGCAAACAAAGGGTTTCAGTGTACTCTATCTTTATGTTTTCTTGTCTATTTTTATCGTTTGTTTACAAAGTGCGCTCTTTTAGTTGATAGATATGTGACAATACATGTGGGGTTCATCTTCCTGATCATCCGGTGGATCTTCCATGAAATAGTCTGCCACAGCCCCTCGTTTGTTGTCATTGTCTTCCTCTCTGCCTGTGGTTCACCTGGCAGTTTTCTATGATTATATATAGCATTGGATATTCATGAGTCGCCTGCATAACAGGATGTGGTCCCCACCAAGGGTGCACTCCCAATTCAAGGGGCAGTCCCCACTCAGGATGAAGCCCCAAACATCCATGGATTAGGACATCATTAGGCTGTCACAGCTCCTCGTTTGTTGTGTTTTCTGCCTCTCTGCCTACTCTATGACGATATTGAGCATTGGATATTCACAAGTCACCTGCAGAACAGGATGTGGTTTCCACCAAGGGTACACTTCAATTCAAGGGGTAGTCACCACTCAAGATGCAGCCCCAAACGTCCAGGGATTAGAACATGATTTGGCCGAATTGCAAATTGCCCCACAACGTGTCGTTGACCGCATTGGCCCGCGCACGCATGCGCGGTCGGGAGGGCCCTCCCGGTCTTGTCACGCAGGAGTTGTGAGCTCCCATCGAAAACCAACCCCTGCATGACGCGGCCGGGAGGGCCCTTGACCGCACATGCGTGCGGCGACCGATGTGCTCGACCCTCGCACGCATGCGCGGTCGAGAGCCCTTGACAGCGTAGAACACATAACCAGCATCGTTTTGTTGAACGGCAAGTTTTAGACTCCCAAGTCAAGGGCTGTCCCCACTCAGGATGCAGCCCCAAGCGTCCGGGATTAGAACCTGATTTGTCTGAATTGCAAATTGCCCCACAAGGCGTAGGCCACGTGGGCGATCTGCAAATGGTTGACCAGTGTCATTTGGCTGAACTGTGAATTTTTGTCTCACAAGGTGTAGACCACATGTGTCATGTGCAAATACCTGACCAGCAAACATCCCAGGACATTTTTGGCTTGCAACACCAACTAGGTGGTCCACAAATTGTTGGCCAGCACCTGGCACTCCAGCCTGAAATTGCCCCGATCTCTGTGGTCTGGCTGCAACTAATATATCTGTCTCAGGCTGTCTGCACATTCTCCACCTCCCACTTTATACAGCATTTGACTTTCTTGCAATTGCCCTTCAGCTTGATGCTGATCTTCCCTGGCTACAGGCAGTGGATGGTATTGATACCAGTGAAGGGGGTTTTACAATTGTGGTCCTACAAGTAGCAATGAGGGACAACCAACTTGAACTGCGCAATGCTCAGTCAGGTGAGTGGTTTCATCCTCCATCCCACATCTCTGCCTGCATTGTACACTAACCTGGGCATTACATGGCCATTGTACATGCCTCTGACCACTGGCGGCTGTGGGACAACGGCACCATGTTCCATGCCATGACTGATGTTGCTGATTTCTTACATAAGGATGCTGTTTTCTTGCCGCATCCAACCACCGGCGTCAAAGACCGTTTCTCTGCCCCTGTGCCGCGGCAGACAGTGTATCAACACTCTGTGACTTTGTCCTTTGCACAGCTACAAACACTGTTACACTCGGCTGCCGCCGTCATCGTCTCGGTCACAAGCACTGCAATGACATGGTTTCTGCAGATTATCCACCACCCACTTTATACAGATCCGGACTTTCTTGCATGCCCTTCAGCTTGGTATTGATCTTCCCTGCCTACACGCCGAGGATTAATTATACCAGGGAAGGCGGCCTACAACTACCATCTTCCCCCAAACACAATGCACCCTCATTTTGGCTGCATGGGACCAAAAGATATCGTGTGTACATTCGTTATCAGGGTGTGTTGTGTTCAGGGAAAGATGGTAGTAATGAGGGACCGCCAGCTTGAACTATGCGATTGCCCAGGAAGGCGAGTGGTTTCGTCCTCCATTCCACATCTATGCCTCCATTGTACACGGACCTGGCCATTACACATGGCCATTGTACATGCCTCTGACCACTGGTAGCTGTGGGACAACGGCACCACTGGTAGCTGTGGGACAACGGCACCATGGGCCGTGCCATGACTGATGATGCTTATTTCTTACATAGTGATGTTGTTTTTTCGTCACAGCAAATGGTCCGCACATACTTTTTCATCGAAGACCATTTCTCTGTATGTGTGCCGCAGCAGGACAATGTATCAACAGTCTGTGACCTTCCCCTTTGCACAGCTACCTACAAACACTGTTATGGTCAGCTGCACCCGTCATTGTCTTTGTCACGATCACTACAACGGCATGGTTTCTGGATCCATCCGTGCAGAGGACTGCCCCTCCTATCCTGACTTCAGGCACCCTCTGCATGTGGACACTATATGTCCATTTCGTGTGCATGTGCGTTATACTGAGTGCATGGTCTTTTGTGCGGCCCATTCTTCCTTCATGTTGGCCTCCAATCGACATGCCATTTGTCGGGAGTGTTTGGTGCCCATACTCAATGCTAGCCATCATGCCAACTGTCGGGAGTGTTCCTTTGCTTTTGTCTTCTTTCCACAGTCACAGTTCTGACACCCGTAAACCAACATTGCTTTTTATTTCACTCCATCATTTTTTTTTTTCCCGTTTTTTAAACCAACAATATCTTCTGGCCTCTTTTTTCCGATACGAACCATGCTGCTCGCCCCCAAAAGGGAGCCAGTGTGGGCATGATTCTTTTTCCTTTCGGCTGGCTGTGCCAACCATTTTGGTCCGGTAGCCCCGAATCCCGAAATATATTTGCCCATATGGTTGCATCCCTGCCGACCGCCGACCCCGACCCCGACCCCGACCACCGACCGTATTGCAGCCGACTAGTAGGGCCGACCGGTCGGCGGTCTGCCGACCAGTCAGAAAACAACCATCCACTAATTTTTTTTCAGATCTGAGTTGGAAGCTGTACTGCGCTTG